TCCCCGCTCGCCTCTCGGGAGCGCGGAGGCCTTCCGCGGAGGCCGTGGCGGGCTCTCCGCCCGCCGCGTCTTCCGAGGCTCTTTTTGCGTGGAAAGAGAATATTGTGTAACCCTGGAAAACCTGTCCCGGGAACCTCCTCCGTGTCTGTCACGACACACGCAAGCCCGTGGGGCTCTTCTCTCCCTTGGCTTTGGATCCTGAGAGGCTCCTCCAGTGCTAGCGGTACCTTATGCTGAGGTGGTGCAAGAAAAAAGTCTGGGGAATTCGCTTTTATTTCTCCTCCTGTCCAGGAGAACCTCGGCTGGGCGAGTGAGAGACAACTGGCTGCTGCTGCTGCTCTGCAGTTAGTTTGCTTGTGTTCCTGGTCTCTGCCTTTATTGTACTTTCCTTGGGAGTTCCTGGATGAGGAAATAGGACTTGTTCACATGGCCTAGCATATATTAAACAATTTGTGGATCCTCTGCATCTTGGGCATGATGTAAGTGCATGCAGCTCATCATATCTGCCCATAAACAGGTGTAATACAGTATTTCTCATTTACTTGAGTATCCATAAACATGCGATATTAACTCTTCCCTGGGGCAGAGGTTTATCCTTTCCGCGATGAACATCTCTTACAGCTACACGCGGAGCAGACTGTGTGGGTGACATAGATACTAATTAGTAAAGTGGCTTATTTAGGAAAACCGTTAGGTGAAGTAGACCAAGACACCTTGTATTCCTGTTCAAGTAGTTCATTAAAGATTGATTTAATCTTAAATTTCTACATTGAAAGGGCAGAAGTATTACTAGGCATGAGAAGGGCTGTAGGACTAAAGCGTGTAGGAATCGAGTTGGTTTTGTTTTGTGGGTTTTCTGCAAGAAGTGTGAATTTTCTTGAGCTTTCAGAAATTAAACAAGAAGAGGGGACTGGGGTGAAGTAAAAAGATAGGCGAACAGTGGAGAAAAATGAAGCAGGTCAGCAGAGTAGAAGAGAAATTCGGGAGGCTCTTTTTTTCTCCATCTTATCTTTCTGCCCTCCAAAACAAAAAAAAAGCTTGAGAAAACTGCTGGCAGTTCCAACCAGTGCAGAGGACCCAGCAACACACATGGCAGTGCCAAAATCTCATCTCAGCTTGCCATGCTACTGCTAGTCTGGGCCAAATGTTCACACTTGCCAGCAGACAAGGAAAGGAAGTTGTGAGACAGAACGATACCCCTGAAAGGGATATTGTGGGAAGGTCTCCTCACTTTCCAAGCCCTCTTTAGTCCAGGTGTCTCAGTCTGGGGAAGAAGTGCAAAAGATTCTCTTTTCTCTGGAGTATGAGATGTTAGGAGAGATACAGTGCATCCTACCACACCCTAGTAACACAGTCCTCCTGGTAGCAATGACTTTATCCTGATAATATCTACCTGGTTTGTGAAATTTCTTTTGCAGTGTTAATCTAGGGAGAAGTCAAATGACAAATTAAGTCCTCCACCTACACAGTAAAACCTAGAGACTGTGGCCTGGTTCCTGAGAGGGTTGTTCTTTTTTTTTTTTTTCAGCTGTGTCTTTGCTATAGTGTGTCTCAATGGTGGTATCCTGCAGTGAAAGCAGATTGTGAGAGCAACATCCAGGGCAGTTTCTAGTATGTTTGTTTTAAAAGACCGTATTTTTTAAGAAATGCTTTTCTCTTTCCTCCTGCCACTTTGAACATGTCATAAAAGTTCAGATTTGTCTTAATAAAATCCCATTGTGCATATACCCTGATTCAGGCTTTGGGGATGATTGTGTCCAATGTCTTCCTTGCCACACAATTGGCAATCAGACTTGATGACTCAGAACTTGAATTATATACTTGTGCAGCTCTTTTGTTTTAGTTTCTTTTAATTTCTTTCTTTTCTCCTTTTGCTGAAGCTCTTCAGTGTGAGGAAGTGCTTTTGTGACACTGACGCTTGTAACGCTGACACATGTTTCTGTTAGTGAATGCTCCTATAAACCTTTGCATCACGATGTTGGTAAAATATTAATTAGGCTGACTGTCTGTGGGAAGTGTATGGCTATAGAGATGAGGCAAGACTCATAGAGGAAGGTAAAGTCCTGACTCGGTGGTGGGATTTTTGTGCAGGCAAGACAAAGAAGAACTTCTGCCCACAAGTTAGTTGTTTTTTTTTTTCTTTAGTTACACTTGCTGTTACTTCTCCTTACACATCTTGTCCCACTGCAGGCACAAAAAAAATTCCCAGGTATTTGCGAAAACCTGGAGCCTGTTATTCATATGATGTATTTATAGTTACACTGGAATGCCCTTCAGTAACAGGTATGCTTGTTACTCTACAGGTCTGAGGAAGGATCTACAGCTTGTGCTCGAGCTGGGGGGGAGAAAAAAGTGATTTTAGATGCTACTTCATCAGGTCTGTCTGGAAAACTAGGGACAGTTGTGGAATGAAGTGGTTTAATCATAACACAGTGAAACTGAGAGATTATGGAAAGACGAACTCTCACTTTGAGTGCATACTTTATAAATCTTACTATTTTGTAGATTGTTCTTTTTCAGAGCTG